AATGAGATGAATGGATTTTTATGGAGAATGCAGGGAGTAAGAACAGCAGAAACTTTAACTATTAGTATGCAGAAAATAAATCAACCACAACCTCAGGATTCCAGTATCATTTAAAACAACAGAACTTCAATTCCTCGGGTAGAAAATGATTGAGGTTAAAACAAAGACTCCACCTTACAAAGTGCTTCCTAATATGAGGGGGCAAAATACTTCTTTTTTTTGGGTCCCGTTGTGGGGCCTGAACTCTGGGCCTGGGCACTGTCTCTCAGCTCTTCAGCTCAAGGCTAACACTCTACCACTTGAGCCACAGCGCCACTTCTGGCTTTTTTCTTTTTGCTTATGTGGTGCTGAGGAATCAAACCCAGGGCCTCATGCATGCAAGGCAAGCACTCTACCGCTGAGCCACCTTCCCAGCCCAACTTCTACTTTTAAAAGCATAAAGCATGTATTGAGTTAAAAAACTTGAAGAATTCGGTGCAAACGGTTCTGCTACTCAGAAGTCCGTCACCCACGGGAGTATAGTTCCAAGCTAAACTGGGCAGGAAAATTGTGAGATTCTACTTCCAAAACCAGCAGAATGCTGGAGTGGCTCAAGTGGTAGGGCACCATAGAAGCAAGTATAATGCCTGGAATTCAAACTCTAGTGCCAGGAAAGACAGACAGACAGACAGACAGACAGACAAAGATAGAAACTTGAAAAGGTAAAAATAGTATAGTCATCCCTCTGTACCAGGAAGACTGATTTTCCCGATCCAGACACCAAAATCCATGTGGGCACAAGCTCCATATATAAAATGACACAATATTTGTATACAACTTACACACATCCTTTGTATATTTTATATTAGATTATGTTATACTTTATATTATTTATATTTATTTAATTATATTTATTTATTTTTTAGGTCTGGTCGTGGGGCCTGAACTCTGGGCCTGGGCACTGTCCCTCAGCTCTTCAGCTCAAGGCTAGCACTCTACCACTTGAGCCACAGTACCACTTCCGGCTTTTTTCTTTTTGCCTATGTGGTGCTGAGGAATCGAACCCAGGGCCTCAGGCATGCAAGGCAAGCGCTCTACCACTGAGTCACCTTCCCAGCCCTTTAATTATATTTATTATACATAGTCTATATGCTATATACTTTAATCCACAGGCTCTTTTTCACAGTAAAGTCTGAGAATCTTTGATTCTCTACATTCATCAAAACTAAATCCCTCTCTTCTCTATATGGACTTTTACCTCAACTAAAAAAAATGTAGTATGTGAATATGATTTTTATTTGTATTTATTTCATTATGATAAGTTTGCTAAGAGTCATTGTGTTGCCTATACTATGTATTAATCTAGTCCTATTCCTGACTTTTAATATATAAGTTGCTAGTGTTTGGGTATTTTGGGGGAGAAGGGTTTTTTTCCTTGTTTTTACTAGTCAATAAGTGAAAATTCTATTGCACGCAAACAGACTCAAGGCCACCAGACAACTCTAGTAAATTACTATAAATTCTGAACTAATAACACCCATCATTTCTTGAATGCTTTAAGGTTTTAAAAAGTTATCAGGGAGCTGGGCATCAACGGCTCATGCCTGTAATCCTAGCTACTTGGATGATGGAGATCAAAAGGCTCCTAGTCCAGGTCAATGTGTGCATACAAGGAAGATCACTTCTCAAGCAATAGCTGGGTGTAGTCGCATGTGCCTGTTGCCCTAGCTACTGCAGCAAGTAAAGAATGAAAGGATCTCAGTCTAGGTGTGCACCCAGGCAGGAAGTAAAACCCTATGTCAGAAATAACCAGTCCATCAGAGGGATGAGGACATGATTCTACATGAAGAATACCAGGTTAGCAACAACCAAGCTCTGAGTTCAAACTCTTGCCTCCCTAAAGTTATCACTGAGACTTTTTTTCATGGCAGGCACTAACAACCACTGTGAGCATTATCCTACAAAGAATTTATCGTATTTATGAAGAAACATTCTTTCATCTTCAAGGTTTTGTAAAAGACATGCTTTAGTTTCTATAGAGGAGTGAACGCTCAGAAGGCTGCATAAAGACAATTTTACTTCTTCAAGTAACACAAATACTTGTGATAAACAAAACACAGATTAATAGTGTACAGTTATTGGGAATTAAAGAGCTTCAGATATAAAAATATTTAACTTTATTAATGTATTGTGTAGTTCTCTCACTGAATATTTAAAAATTCAATTATATTAACATAAAACAACTTTGAATATCATAAAATCCAAGTATCCAAATAGACACACCTATTTTCCTCATAACCATTCAAGCTAGGCCAACAATTTATTTTCATACAGTTCATAGGATACGCATCTAAAAACTCTAATGATACTCGTTCAGTGAAGCTCCTGCCACAATTGGACTAATCAAGCAACCAAAACATTGATATAAATATATTTCCTTTTGGAATTTCTAAACAGATCCAATTATTTACTAGAAATTTTCAAAGCTTAACCAAGCAATACTTTAGATAGGTAGAAAAAGCTCCTTTCAGTGACACTGGCTCCATCCCCTACATAATTTATTACACAAGTTAGAAGAAACAAAGATGGCCCTAGGATAGGATGGGCTTTCAAACTTGGCAGGTGATGGGTTCTTGAATTCCATAATAGGAAAGTCCATCTTATCTACTACCAACAGATCACCAATAAGAGAAAGCTGGGTGGCCATATTAAAGGTTTATAAAAATACTTAAGACTTATGATCTGTTTGATTTTGCAGAGCACCTGAAGCCTACTGTACGAGTCCACATTGAGTCTTGAAAACAGAAGCACAATGATTAGGTCCAAAGGCTAGTGGGAACTGAAACACAAACACACACAGAGGAGTTATGTGCATCATGAAGCACACAGAGTCAGAGCCAGGCCTCTTGCCTGCCACTCCCAATCTGTGGGACCTTGAGCATATAATCTCTCTGTGTCTAAGTGGCTTCACGGCATTCTTTTGAGGACTAAATGAGTCAGACACTTAAGACAGTGATTGGATATATGCAATAGAATTTTACTCATTCATCAGGAAGAATGATATTATATCCTTTGCAGAGAAATGGATGGACCTGGACAAAACAGTTACATGAACTAAGTCAGGCTCAGAGAGACAAAGATGTCATGTTTTCTTTATGTGGAAGTTAAGTCTAAATTATATAAGACCATATAGGATCAAGTGCATATAAAATGAACATATTAACTGAAATATGGTATAGGCAGGGGAAGATTCCATTGGTGGAACTCCTTTGAACAACTAACAGTTTAACAGAATTCCACAGAACTGGAACATGTGTTGGGGAAAGGCTACAGTTTAAGATCAAGAGGAAGGGGACAGGTGAATGAAGAGAGAAAGGATGGGAGAATGCAGTTCCAATATTCAATGTACATACATGAAAATGGAGCTAGGTAAATTGAGGAGGTGAGTAGACGGGGACAGATGAGGGAGAATGGTGAAAGAGTGACATCGAGATTCCCTGTACTCACAAACTGATATGTGGAATTGAAATCCTTTCATATAAACACTTAAAGCTAAGAAAAAGGAATAACTGAAAAAACAAACCAATGACTAGTAACAGCTGTTATATAAGAGTTCTCCATAGCAGCAATAGACCAGGTGCCATGACTGTAGAGCCAACAGCTAAGGTGTAAACACGGAAAAGCATCTCCTTCCAGGAAGGAGGAGAGGAAAACGATGCTGCAGAGAAGTCAGGCACAACACAAGTAAAGGATTCCTCCAGGTGAGCAGGAAATTATTCTTCACAGGTGGTAAATACCCAAAATCATCGTAACTTGAAAAGGTTAGTACCCAGATGGATATAAACCACACTTTCTTTTATGACCGACTGTTAAAATCTACCCTCAGCAAATTCACTTTTCTAATCTTTCCAATTTTCTCCTCTGCTGTTGCCATCAACTCCCTTCTTTTTTTTTTTTTTGCCAGACTTGGGGCTTGAACTCAGGGCCTGGGCACTGTCCCTGAGCTTCTTTTACTCAAGGCTAGCACTCTACCACTTGAGTAACAGCGCCACTTCTGGCTTTTTCTGTTTATGTGGTACTGAGGAATCGAACCCAGGGCTTTGCGCATGCTAGGCAAGCACTCTACCATTGAGCCACCTTCCCAGCCCTCATCAACTCCTTTCTTTTTTTTATTTAGTTTTTGGGGGGGCCGGTTGTGGGGCCTGAACTCTACGCCTGGGCGCTGTCCCTCAGCTCTTCAGCTCAAGGCTAGCGCTCTACCACTTGAGCCACAACACCACTTCCGGCTTTTTTCTTTTTGCTTATGTAGTACTGCAGAATCGAACCCAGGGCCTCATGCATGCAAGGCAAGCACTCTACCACTGAGCCACCTTCCCAGCCCCTCATCAACTCCTTTCTTAAATTCTCACCTTTCTACTATATAGTCTACGCTGAGTGCACCTTAGGTAAGCTGAGGAGGACAATCCACTTTACTTAACTATAAGGGTGCTACTTCTTAAGCATGCCATGCTTGGATCCCAGTCTAAAATGACTGTAATGCTTACTGGATTCCTAGTGAATTCCTGTAATGTCTTATAGCATCAAACTGTTAAAGACCAGACAGCAATGGGACTCCTTGGAGAAAACAGGACTTGTTGGACATAAAATCTCAAGAAATGTCTTATTTGCATTTTGTTGCACTTCCAAAGGCATTTCTCAGACATTGTCAAACCCTTAACTTCAGTCCCTTGGCAACAACAGCAGCCCAGCTACCAATTATTCAATAAACTAGTGGAGGAACAAAGGTTGTCAGAATAGCTGGGGAGGGGGAACAGGGGAGCCTTCCTCAACCCCTCCACCCCCGGCGATGGAGCTGCAGTCAACACGCAGGACAATCTAACCAGGAAAAAAAGCACTAGATCCACTGAATCCCAACCCAACCCAACACAAGCCTGTCCAGTTAAACAAAAGTATCACTACAATGACAATAAGGCACCACCCTGAGTCACTCGAATCCCTCCAAGCTTTCTAACAATACCTACCTTTAGGAGGAGTGAGGTTGACTCCATTTTTAAGGCACCATTGTACTGGCAAAATCCCTACAGAATCTGCATGGCACAGCATTGACAGTTTATTAGGTTCTGGTCTGAGGTCATCAATAGTTACTTGAAAAAAATGATTGTTAAAAACCTGAAAGAAGAAAAATTAAAAGTTGAGATGAATTCTTCCATATCACATATGTAATAGTGTCACAGCGTCACTGCACGCCCCTGCCTCTTCCCCAGGAAGATAATGTATTTCATCAGAGAGACTGGAGCACAAACCAGCATTTCCACGTATAATATTAAGTTGATCCAGTGGCTAAAAAGGTATAATTGGTCCTGGTAGCTCACACCTGTAATCCTAGGTCCCTTGGAGAGTGAGACCTGAAGATTGAGTTTCAGGTAGAAAGGTCTATAAGACTCTTATCTCCAATTAACCAGCAAAGAGTCAGAAGTGGAGTTGTGACTCAAGTGGTAAAGTGCTTTAAAAAAAAAAGCTAAGCAGAGTGTAAGGTCCTGAGTTTAAACTCAAGTTCAAGGGAAAAACAAAACAAAAAACCTCTCCTTTTGAAATAAATGTACAAAAGTCTATTAACCAAACCATATGTCAATTCCTCCCTTAGTTTTATTGTTTTGTTTTGTTTGTTTTTTGTTTTTGGTGCCAGTTCTGCAGCTTGAACTCAGGGCCTGGGCACTGTCCCTGAGCTTCTGTGCTCAACAATGCTCTACCTTTTAAGCCACAAGTCCACTTCCAGCATTTTGCTGGTTAATTGGAGATAAGAATCTCATGGACTTTCCTGTCCAGGCTGGCTTCAAACCATAATCCTCAGATCTCAGCCTCCTGAGTAGCTAGGATTACAGGCATGAGCCACCAGTGCCTGGCTTTAAGAAGACATTTAAATTAATTGTACCATAGTTGACACCACTGAGATTTCTTTTATGAAGAAAAGGTCTTATAATCTTAAAAGATTTGATCATTTCATCAAAAACTATGCTTTCTATAATAAAAGTAATTTCATTTTCAATTGCTTTAAGTTGATGAAGGCAGATGAGGAAAAGAAGGGAGAAATCTTAGCTTGAGGAAACCAGTTTCAGCTTCTAAGTACAAATGGATTAGAGTCCCTACTATCATTCAGGAAGAACACGTTATTTTTTAGAAGGATTACAGCATGCAACTCTGTATAGACCACTATCACAACAAGGAAGTCACCTTGTTCCTTCTAAGAGGGGGCCTCTGACAAGACAACTTCTGCAACTTGCAGGAGGCCTCTGATTGGACAATTTCTGTGGCCTACAGCAGAAAGAGCTTAGAGCTGAACTGGATTGGAGAGACAGTGATCCCTCTCTGGCTGTTTGCTATTGCTGTGTGTTCTTGCACAGTACAATTTGCTTTGAGCTGAAAGGCTCATTTGAGTCATATGAAGTGGTGCAAAGGAAGAAAACCCACCTTCGTCACTGATGCAGGACAGATATGAAAGGGTTCGCTCATATTCACTGTCTCTAGCTTCATTCCAACTGTGAAGAGGTGGCTTCGCAAATCTGTGTGATCCTGTATGGGGGAAGATGAGAGTGTTGAGCAAGAGGGACCTGTGAACACACTAGCAATGTGTGTGTGTGTGTGTGCACGTGTGCGCACATGAGCATGCTTTTTGCCGTCCTTGAGCGTTTTCTTGGACAACTCAGATCTGATGGAAATAATTAACCTTCCCCCATGTCAAATTTCTCATTATGGTGAGGTACTGCAGATTTAATTATTTTCTGCAGTTGAAATTGCTTTTCCAAGAGAGAAGCAACAAGCCTTTGTGGCCATGTCTGCAATGTACACTAAGCAAAAACACAAAAAAACCTCCCATCACATGTTGCATTACTTTGATCTTCCTAGGAGCTATCTGCCGAAATACAGCGGAGTAATAGAGGCGATCTGTCATCTTAAACACAGCATCTTTGGAAAGCAGAAAACGTGGCCTCTTGATACCACAGCTGCATCACAAGGCATCAGCATACACCCTCTGGTGACAGTCCATTCGGACTCCTGTACTCTTCACTGGATCACCATTATTGGGAGTGAGCCCCACAGGAATGCAAAGCTGCCCTGTGGGGTGATCAGAACTTGACTCCTATACAACAAGAGAAGCAACAACCCCCCCACTCCCCCCACCCCCGCATACACACACTTTTTAATAGGCATCTGGCTATTTTATAACCTGCTCCCAGCAACCTGATGTGTGTGAGCGAGCACGGGGGCTTCCCTGCCTACTTGTGAAAACAAATTTCAATATCCACTTCAGCTCTGTGGCGACAGATGAGGTTGGCTAGACTGTGGATGCCAGAATTTATCTTGCTGAGATGGAGGTCGCCTCATAACTCATATTCTGTATAAGTAGTAGCAGATAAATAAATGTATTTGCAGTGTGCCCCTGAGGAAATAATAGCCACAAATAAATCTTCCTATGTCCAAACACATCATCTGGGTATGAAGTAAAAATATATATATATATATATATATATATATGTATATATATGGACCTATTGCTTTTTATCTACAAATCTAAGTGGGGTTTTAATTAATTCAATGATGCCATTTTATATCCAAATCTGTAGACCAGTCATAGCCCCATCAGACTGTGCCTGCTTCCTTCCCCCTGGCACTATTACTGCATCCAACAAATGCCCAGGGAAGAAGAACTATTTTGAAACTACTGAGGCTCTACTACTTTGCTTAAAATAAACAGAGAGAGAGAGAGACAAACAGAATATAAATGTCTGCAGAACCACAAGAACTAGTTCATTTTTTTTTGTCCCCAGAGCAAGTGCAAGCTTCTCTGTCCACAAAAATGTGTAACACATGCAGATCTTGGTGAAAAAAATAGTGCCACATCCGGGACTAATCAGAAAGAAAGGATCCAGTAAAGTATGAGTAAAATGAATCAAAGCATCTAGCTCATTCTAACGCTTTGTAAATTCCTTAAGAACTAACAATCAACACTCCATAAAAATTATATGCAAAAGGAAAAAAAAGCACAAGGAAATATTCTCTTAAATGCAGCCAATGGCTTTCAACCAAGGCTGCAACTTTTATGAATTCCTTAAGAACTTATAATCAACACTTTATAAAAAAAATCTATGCATGAATGAAAGTACAAGGCAATATTCTTTGGTGTATGTGGTTACTTTCATCATTGATGTTGCAAACGAAAGCATTTGCTTTTAATGCTGGCTGGGGAAACTGGGTCAGAAAAGGAAAAACAAGTTATGCACAGTAACAGACTAAGCAAGGCAGAGCGATAAACCACAACTTCTAAGACAAGAACTACACCCCACTTGGGTTAACTGACACCTAACTTAAATTAATTTAAAATCTCCAGGTGCTGGCTGGCTCATGCCTGTCATCCTAGGTACCTAAGAAGCTGAGATTCACACGATAATGGTTTGAAGCCCAAGTGGGCATATGTGGAAGACCCTTTTCAACCAAATGGTGAGCAAAGTGATGCATGTCAGTCATTCCAGCTGCATGATTGAGACATTAGGAAGATCTCAGGTCCAGATCAACTTGGACAAAAGGAAAAAAAGTTCACAAGATTCCATCTCAATAGGAAGCCTAAATGTGCCTGGACGGGAAGTTAGAGTTCCCACCCCTGCCCAATATCTCAAAAAAAAAAATATTTGGTGCAAAAACAGGGCTGGTGGCATGTTTCAGCAGTAGAATGCCTGCCTGCCTTTCAAGTAGGAGGGCATTGTGTTCCAACCCCAGTACTGTATAAAAAGTAACAAAAGGAGATTAAAAGTCAAATTTTCCTGTCAGACATCAGTGTTTCCAGTCCCTCTTAGGTAGGAATTGAGACATATTTGTGAATTAATTGTGCAGGTAAATATTTTCCCCTTAAGCCTTTTATTCTAAAATTATAATACAGTAAAATTTCCCTGAACACACTCAACAAGTTTGCTGGCTGACAGTAGAACCACACCCTTGAGCACAAATGATACACTGGTAATTAATACTGGTAATAATGGCCATTGGTAATACATATTGGTGTTGGTAATGGGTAATACTGGTAATACATTGGTGATTAATAGCCAAGATAAAAGCAATAGTTCACTCTAGTCATTCTGTTTACCTCTCTGCTACAGGATGCTCTTCCTTGCTACACAAATCCTTTCAAAAATACAAAGTTTAACCCTACTTAAGATCTATCTTGGTATCTTCTATCTCCAAGGCTCTTGGGGAAATTTCCCATTTCCCACTTGCTTCAACTGTTGGAGACACTTCCTAGTAATCTGTACTTCTGGTCTGCCCATTGCCTTCACCTCTTCATTGGGTGCCTCCAATGTCTCATCATTTTTCTCCAAAATTTACTCTCTGAGTACAGCCAGCTTCCCAAACAAGCCTACAACAAAAGTTCATTCACAGTTTGACTTTGAGCACATCTTCATTTGACCTTGATTCGCTGACCTGAAAATTTCAGCTAAGTGCAAACCCATGCTACATCCTTTGTTCTTAGAAAAAGGTTTCTCAGTGATAGCTCCTTATGCTGTGTGAAAAGCTCTGTGACCCTGAGGTCCACTGCAGGGAGACCTGTCCAGTCTGCTGCCTTACTGAATACACAGTTATAGGACAATGACCAGACATTGGCTGCTTATCCTTGAAATAAAGTATATAGTAAGGTGCTGCTTAAATACCCTCTCCATCCAGGGCTGTGGGCCATGTTACAGGTGCTTATCAGTAATGACTTCAAAGCACATTGCCTCATCTCTAAAGAGGTCATGAAGGCAGTACACAATCTCTTCCTTCTCTGCCAGAGCATCTATTTGTTTACCTGTCAATCAATAGATATCTCTGATATCTGATATGAGCTTAGCTATCAGAACCATGCGTGATCCTATGTAGGACAAAAAATTAAATTAAATGAGTTAAACAATTAAACAAATCAATTAAACAATGAATTAACAAATTCAGAGCCGGGCACAGGTGGCTCATGCTGAGATCTGGGGATCTCAGTTCAAAGCCAGCCTAGGCAGTAAAAGTCTATGAGACTCTTATCTCCAGTAAACCACTCAGAAAACTGGAAGTGGTAGAGCACTTGAGCTGAAGAGCTGAGGGACAGCTCTCAGGCCCAGAGTTCAAGCCCCATGACCAACAACAACAACAAAAAAACCCCCACAAATTCAGCATAATACTCAGTGAATATTACTCCAAAAGTTTTGAAACTGGTTTCCCTTTGTCATCCATGGCTCAGATCTGCTACATCCTCAATCATTTCTACATTCCAGGTGGGTGGCAAATAACTTGTGTATGTGGCTCTGCCATCAGTTCCTGGCTCATGGCTCCTAAAGGCCTGGGAATTCCCTGGGGAAGGAGAGCATCGTTGGTTCTAATGGGGACTCTAGGCAAGCCCCTAGATAAATTCAGGATAAGGGCTTGTTACCAGAAAAAACAAGAAACGAATTAGGGGTGGCAACATTCATTCTTCGACCCCAGCTGGCGAAAAAGAGGGGCTGATGATTGAGTTAGTTACCAATACTCAATGATGTAATAAAATCATTAATTAATCGAACCCTAAATGATAGGGTTCATTCTGGAAGGGTGGTGTATCTCAACCTCTCTGTAAAAGTTTGACTTGAAATATCTACATATTCTTATACACCAAACTTTGAACTTTGAATTTCAGAAATGAATCAGGAAACTATAAAGTACATTCTTCTACCTAATAACCAAAGTATACTAGGAGCTCAAAAGACAAACACCTCCCCCAAAACTAATAATCCAACAATAAATGGGCAAAGAAGCTTAAGAGAGAATTCTCAGAAGTGACTTCTCAGAATGACAAATAGACACATGAGGAAATGTTCAATATCCCCAGCCATAAAGGATATGCAAATCAAAGCAACTTTGATTCAATCTCACTCTAGTTAGATTGGCCTATATCAAGAATTTGAACACCACCACATGCTAGCATGAACATATAGGGAGAAAGGAGCCCTACTGCATTGTTAATGGGAATGTAAAGTCATGTTACCACCCTTGAAGGAGGTTTGGTGATATGTCAAAAAACTAAATATAGAATTTCCCTGTAACTCAGCCATACCACTCTTGAGCACCTACCCAGATCATTACAAGTTAGGATATGGTAAAGACACTTGCTCATCCATGTTCATTGCTGTACTATTCACAATAGCCAAGTTACAGGAACAATCCAGATGCACTACAACAGATGGTTGGATTGATAAAATGTGATGTCATATACATAATGGAATTTTACTCATCCATTACAAAAATAAAATTGTGTTATCAGCAGGGTAATGAATGGACCTAGAACAAATCATACTAAGCAAGGTAAGTCAAAGTCAGAGAGATAGACAAATGGCGCATGTTTTCTCTCATATGTGGAAGCTAGGTCTAAAATATAACTGATAAAGATCTAAAATATAACATGATAACCTCTACAGGACTCTAGGCATTCACACACAAAGAGACTAAAGGAGGATACCCTTAGGGGAAAAACACAAAGGTATAACTTCTCTAAACATTTAAAATACTAGCTACTGAAACAA